GGTGATGCAAATTATAGACGCACCAGGCATTAGACAGATTTCGCAAACGCAGGTTCTGTTCTATCTGCAACCTATCCTCTCAGCTTCAATAAGTTTGGAACCCACCAGTGACAACTTGTTGCAGCCGATGCCAAAATTGCCTGATTTTACAACCAGTGTTTCATCCGCATAAATTCTCATTTCGTGTCGCCATCATGGCTGATGAGGTGCAGCCTGACGCAGACTCCCTAGCGCGGAAATGGTGGAGTGATGCGGACGACCTTAGCCTTCTCACCCAGGTCAATAATGACCTTCCCTTCAAGCACGCAAAGAGCACTGCCAAAGCCTGGGACAGCGTCGCGGCCAAGCTCCTGCAGGCTCCATCGTTTGCGAGAAATGGACTGGACGGGAAGAAGGCATCAAGTCGCTTTTTTCACTTGCTCCGAGTGCACCGAAAGTTTCAAGAGACTTCCAAGTACATGTCGGGAGTGGCACAAGGTGAAACCGGCAAGATTGTACTTTTGGACGAGCTGCTGCAGTTGTATGAGAAGCACACCGAACAGCGCAAAGCCGAACGGGCCACAGCAACGGCAGAGGGCAAGCGAAAAGGGAGCAAAAGCATCACACATCCGCAAACAAGCGATGCGTCGTGGTCGCCGCCCGTCGGTCGAACCAGACGATTCAACTGACAGTGATGCGGTAAGTACGAAACGTAAAGCTATTTTTGAGTCCCAAGATCGTGAAATTGAGTTAAAGCACGAACGGCTCAAATTCAAATAACACAAATTTGAAATGGAGCTTCAAGAGCGTGAAAAGGATAGAATGGAACGAATCCAACAACGAGAGGACGATCGCAAACGAACGGAAGACATGGTGACACTCATTCGTCAATTGATCGAGATGAATAAACATTAGTTGTAAATATGTCTTCCTTCTTCTCGTGTTGATCAATGAAATTTTGCACAAGTAGTATCGGATTATTCACAAAACTAAATACTCCTCAAGTTGTGGTGGCGCCAAGTTGAAATAGTCGCTGATTTGGTTGCCGCCATAATAGCAGCAGTGGCAGTTAGTAAATAACATTGCGCACATGATTACCTTGCCAACGCTTTGTAGCATGATCTTTTGTTGCATTTTGTACCCCACCATCGCCCAATGTCTTTTCATTACTCCAAAAGACCACTCGACGGATTGTCGGACTTTACTCATGGCTGAATTAAACGCCTTTTTGTTGGCGTCCAACTCATGTCCTTTGTATCCCGAGCAAATCCAATCCAGCACACCGTACGCTGGGTCGCCATAAATCAAAAATCCAGCGAAAATACTGCGATTTTCGTCCAAATACGATTCCAGCTCTATCAAGCGAAGCAGAGTCGCGTCATGGCGAGAGCCTTCAATTGCCCCCCAGAAGTGCACACACAAGCCGTCAGGTGCAGTGACCGCTTGAAAGTTGAGGCAATGACGACGTTTATGCTCACTGTAGAGCAAGCGCTGTAGGTCCGGCAACGCGTCTTCCGTACGGCCTCGTTTCTGCGTGATGCGACACGTTTCAATCTTACTACCGTCGATGAAACCAATGATGCTGTCCATCATCGATCCCTTGTTCTTATATATTGCAGCAGCGTATTTTGTCAATCGGTTGGCAACGCTCGGCAGGCAAAAGTACAAAACGCCACTCCAATGTGCAAACAAAATGTCGATTGTGTCGTTAAGAATTCGACACAAGGCTTCGCGTGATCGTCCGAATGTGGACAACATGTCGTAGAGTCTTCGTGGGTAGGACATGCGGTACAGTGCGATGCAAAGCGCTTCGGTCGCGAGGCAACGGTCACGTGAAGCAGTGATTACAACCTCGGGAAGGCGCAACGCAATGACGAGACGTTGAATGCCTTGGACGTCGAAACGGAACTTTAATGTGGCATCGGCATCCGTCAACGAAAGCAGATCAAAACGAACGTCCGGTACAAGAGGTTGTTCAACGACGCAAGCAAGCAGACGGAAAAGCCGCATGCGTTGTCGGAATTTGGCTCCGTGACGCTTCTTAAGAAGCACTTCGATCTCATGGCATGACAGCATACATGGATATGAGGTCGCTACAGGTGTATTTTGATTGGACTAATTTAGCGGATAGAACCTGTTTGAATCGGATGACTTGCGAAATTCAATGGTTGTGAGGTTTCATTCTATCTGTTCTGAATTTTAGGTTACAGATAGAACAGAACCAAGGTTTGCGAAATCTGTCTATTGTCTACAAAACG